ATACGAGGGTCAAACTGAAAGTTCTTAGAACTGGCCACTTATAAACAATATAATAAAAAAATAATTCTAAAATTTGAAAATATAACTCTTTGCCAATATTACTGAGTATATATTTCATTCATTTGTCATTTGTTTTACGATTTGGCGGCAAATTGAAAATTGTCTGTGTCACGTCATCATGAATTTAACACGAGAAAATTTTCGTGCAATGATTTTTTATGACTTTCGATGTCATTTAAGTCAACAAGAAAGTTATGATAGACTACGATTGGCCTTTCACGATGAAGCCCCATCTCGTGCGACTGTTTACAACTGGTTTAATGAGTTTAAACGTGGTCGCACTAATCTCACTGATGATTTACGTGAGGGACGGCCTTCTACGGCGACGACTGAAGATAACATCTGTGTTGTGCGGCGTATGATAGAGACTGACAAAAGAGTGACCTATCAACAGATTCGGACAAGCTTAGGCATCGGTATGAGTCAAGTGCACAAAATCCTCCACGAACATTTAGCGGTCAGGAAGCTTTGCGCCCGGTGGATACCTCATAATTTGACTGAGGCTCAAAAACTCCATCGTGTGGATTGGTGTCGTAAAATGATTGAAAGATTTAACGGAGGTGACTCAAATGCTGTGTTCGACATACTAACAGGTGACGAAAGCTGGATTTACTGTTATGATCCTAAAACCAAAAGACAATCTGCTCAGTGGGTGTTTCCTTTCGAGGAGTTGCCAACTAAAGTGAAGAGAGATCGAAGTGCGGGAAAAAAAATGGTGGCCTCGTTCTTTGGAAGGATAGGTCATTTTGCAACAATTGTGTTAGAGGATCAAAAAACAGTTTCTGCAGAATGGTACACTACCAATTGTATGCCACTTGTCTTGGAAAAAGTTCGAGAGAAACGACCTCGCAGTAGGATCCTCCTTCACCACGACAACGCCTCGTCGCACACCGCCAAGCGAACGATCGACTATTTGGCGACATCAAACGTTGAATTACTGGGTCACCCGCTGTATAGCCCCGACCTCGCGCCTTGTGATTTTTATTTATTTCCAAAAATTAAAGAAAAACTTAAAGGAAAGCGGTTTATGAATGCTGAAGAAGCGGTGGCTGCGTATCGCGATGCCATTGAAGAGACCCCTAAGGACGAGTGGGCAAAGTGCTTTTCCCAGTGGTTCCATCGCATGCAGCGGTGTATTGACGTGAATGGACAATATTTTGAAAAGATATAATAAAACTAATAACTGGCTAATGTAATCAGTTTTTGATTTTCTAAGAACTTTCAGTTTGACCCTCGTATATACTACTTTTACAAATCAGGTGTTACTTTTAGTTATTAAAATATATATTATTTTGTTAGAAAAAATATGTTGTGTGTGGATATTATCAGAAAGCCTACTCTATAATTTTTCCGAATACAATAATAATAGTCCGTTGTTAATGAAAAAGGAGGCGAAAGAAACAAATTTTTATAAAGCTTGCAAATAAATAGCATGTGATATTAGGGTGTGTGCTTGTGTGCTACGGTTAATATCTTTCATACAAATAATTCCAAAAAGAACCTTTCTTTCGTCTCCTTCGATGCGTTACATTCTGATGTTATCACCAGCCTCTTAGTGTGCTGGGGCACTGCTTTTCTTAAGGTCACCTTAAGTAATACTTTTTTGTGTGGTGTAGCCTTGGTGTAGGAAATAAGTATGTGGTGAAATAAATAACGTAGATTTGCTTGTAAAGCCTTGTTAATATTTACCAAGGTCCAGCGAACAGACATGATTTTTAAGCTGCGTCTTTTTTTTATGTGACATTATTTTTTGTATATTGTTGAAGAAAGAAACAAGCTCTTCTTCTTCTTTTATTAATGGCAAAGAAAGTTTATATTTTTTCTTTGCAGTTCTTTAGACAGAGTAGAGTATCGTAGAGTAAATAACTACCGTAATATAACATAAAGAAAAAAATTAAAAGAATATAATCGACGTGCATATGCTCTCTCTTCTCTACTCGATACCGTTCAACCCCAACGCTTGAAAGTTTGTAGGTCGTATCAGTCCGGAAATACCGCTGGCGACAAACTGTTCCAGAGTTTGGTTGTGCCCTTGTATACACTTCCTAATCTGACAAAATTTTATAGCAATTCATTTACATTACAGGCCACCAAACGCTGGAACTCTTACCTGAGTCCATACGACAGGCAAAGTCTTTAAATTCTTTCACATCGCTGCTAAAACCTTTATACCTGTCTGAAGATTAATCTGCCTTTACTATCTTTCTCTCTTTTCTCTTTCCTTTTTTCTCTCTTTTCTCCCACCACATGTTGCACATTGTCGTCAGTATGTTTTTACGCTTTGTACATTATTCGTTTTGTCATTTCAACATATACTAAGTTTTGTTTTGTTTTGTCCGCATAATTACTTTCTGTTACTTTCGCACTATCTGCTGATAATTTAATTGTACCTAGTTAAATTTCCGTACGTTGTTAGGTTGCCTGGCAGAAATCGCCGCCTATTATACAATGTTTGTAAAAGATTTTTGTGTTATTGTCTCTTTTCAATTGTGCAATCAAGAATATTTATTATTATTATTGTTATTTGCTCTATAACGCATTAATTGTCTGACAGAATATATAATCATTCTATATGTGTCATCCTAGAATTCTAGAGGTAATTTAGCGTAAGAGGTCGTGCCAAAAATGTGCTTTCTAAAGTTTGATATTTTAATATGTTGAGTATTAAGTGTTTACATTACCGAGTACCCTAGTGTAGCAGGCTGGAACGCCTGGTGACGTCGGATCAATATAAAGTACAAAAAATTGTAATACACATGAAAGGTTTTTTTAATAATTTAAAATTAGCAAAAAGTCTATTAATGTACAAAAAAAGAATAGTTAAATATTGACATGAAAAAATACTAAGCTGCTTAGATTGCACAATCGTAAACAAGGCGACACAGCATATCGCAGATGGTGTGAAAATGAACTCCGCAAATAAGTTTCGTAATGGTTGAAAGTTAGTTTATTACAAAATTATTATTAGTTAGTTTATAAAAAATACTCAGACTTTCATAAAACGGGACAAACAAATTCAGCAATTGCTAGAAGTTTGTTTTGCATCCCTACCAAGTGTTCCAGCACCTACGCACAACTTACTTAAGTATAATACTTACGTCAAAATACTGAAATATCAAGCTTAAGAAAGCTCTTGCACAATTTTTTTCACAAGTTTTCTGTTTATTTGGACCGTTATCTTAATGGTAGGTTTTTACTTATTATGGATACGTAAGATAAACAAATAGAAAGCTGCCCCTCCTCTCTGCTCTATGTTGCATGAAACGCGGAGGGTAAAGTCGCATCGGCAAAGGTGATTTTAAAGATGCTTTCACCTATGAAAAGCTACATCATAGGAAGGTGACTTAGGAGATAATTTAGACGGGCGAAGTCGCGGGAAAACAGCTAGTATGAAATAAAAACATGATATAGTATACAAATTATTTTATTAGATACGATTAGACTAAGTTTATGTAGAATATATATGGAATTTGATGTTATCTACAAAATATACAGTTGTAAAATACAGCAGCGCGGTTCATTTCGATTGTCAAGAGATGCTAATTTATATGGTTTTGTTTTATTCTTTTATTATTGAAAATCATGAAAATTTTGTGTTTATAGCGTAAATAAAAAAAAATTGATTCCTTTTTTCAGTATCTAAGTGTAAGGAGTGAATTGGTCTTCTTAGTGAAGTGCTGATGCCATCACCTTCCGAAGTTTTTGTTGGTGAACTCTGAGCTGAAGGGGCTGGTCTTGAAGCCGAAATTGTTGCGGTGGGTGGAGACCGCATCCTGTTTGAAGAATGACGAACAATGAACATGTAGTCAAATATCTGTCTTAAAGTTACAGATAGTACTCGCCCAAATTGATGCTCTGCAGAGGGATTCCGTAAAAACCGAATCCAAATTCGAATTCACTCATGTGTCCAAACTCACGTCATTTAGTGTAGAAATTATATTGATTTCATTCTTGTCTAAAAATACAAAACAAGATTGATTGATTAAACATGTCTTAGATATTCTATGTCATTTCGAAATGCACTTTATACCACGAAATGTTATTACCAATTCCAGGTTAAGCGAGTGTCGCTTTCGAAGTGAATTCGTGGTCGGGTTTTTACGGAATAATTCTTTAATTGTTAACATTACACAATTTACATATACACTTTTAAAACTGTATATGCCGTAGTTCGTAGGGACGATTACAAACACAAATAAATTGTTTCTTACCCAGTTATACTAACATCCGTTAAAGTTTAATAACGACTTATAGTTATAATTATAGTTATTAGGCATGAAATACAAAAAAAAAACACGTCTTTAATATTCTTCACTAATCGACCTAACAGACAAACATACATAAAGTAGTAATTATTCCTACTTTAAAATATGACGGATAATTGGATTTCTCTAATGCAATTTTCATGTGCCCATTGCTACCAATCATCTGCAGAATTATCCGAGTAGGTACCACCACAAATCGAACAAAGCCATTTTTCAGTTATTTTTCGCTATTCTCCTGTAAAATTTTAACACTTACCAATGTATTTTGTAATATTTCATTATTTAATTTACTTTTCAATACTATTTAAAATTATTAATAATTAAATATAATAATTTAAATAATAATTTAAAATTAGGGTCGGTCATGGAATGGGTGACCAAAAAATTATTATATCGAGCTACTCCGTGCTTCGGAAGGCATGTTAAGCAGTTGGTCCCGGCTGTATTTGCAGTCGTTAATACCCTCTAATCCGCATTGGGCCAGCGTAGAGGGTTATGGCCCATCCTCCTTAACCATCCATAAGGAAGGCCTGAGCCCCTGCAGTGGGGACGTAAAAGGGCTGGTGATATGATGTCATATTAGAAATAAGGTCTTGTTTATTTATAAATTAATATGTTAAAATAAAAAACTAGATTTAATAAAAACTTTAAAAAGAAACAGAATTTTTAACCCTGTCTCCTCTACGTAACTTTTTCAACCTGTCCTGTTTTCTAAAACCTAGTCTGACTGTTTTTCCTTATAAAAACTAAAAATCAAACCTGATCGGCAATAATCCCTTGTTGAGAGTTGTTGTCGCCGGGTGGGAAATAATCGTTGCCGAATTGTGGCAGATCCTCGATGCCGATGAGGTCGGAGTCGTTGCTCATGTCACTATAAATATTAAAGTTTTGGTGTTATTTTATAGAAATATGGCTAATCTAAAACAAAGTTTTGAATCCCATCTCAGAGTATCAGGGACAAAGAAGATTTTTTAAGCATTTAACATAAAAAATATTTTTTTGTATAGCCTTGTGAATGCAAAGATCAAATATTATAATTAGATCAAATTTTTACAATATTTGCAAAAATATTTCTTTCGGCTGTTTGGGTGGATAGGCTATCCATTGAACATTGAGGAAAATACGCTCTGTAGTAGCGAAAAAGTTACAAGTGCTTGAAAGATTCGTCAGTCCTGTTAAGTCTTTGGTAGCTCAGTGGTTAGAGCCCGGATTACGCAGGAACAGCTTTTGTGATAAAGAAAAGCATTAAAACAAAGTTTACCAGAATTAAAAACTGAACAAATACAAGCTACTTTTGTGATGGTGTACGATAAATAAGATTCACTTGTACTATTAGCGATCTACTGCCCACCTGGAAACACAGTAAAGGCAGAAAGATTCTCAGACTCCGATATTTTGGACTTTTAGGCAAAGGTTTTGTGCGGCGAAGACTGGAATGCTTAACAAACTTTTTGGGGTTCACGGCTTACACTGACTAGAGGAAGGGAATTGAAAAAGAGTATACATATGTATTGGCCAAGTGATCCAAAGAAACCACCTGATCTCTTGAATATTTTTGCATTTAAAGGACTTTCACACTTATACTTGAGAGCTGATAGTTGCCATCACAGTAGTTGAGAACATACACCAGTCATAGCAAACATAAGTACATTCATAATAGAGAGACTGCATTAATAATAATGTCTGGGAATAATTTCTTCAACTGACTAATTGTCACCGGTTTTTTACATGCGAGCTTTACCGAAAGACGATTCGTTTCTTCGCCTCCTTCGGGTTCGGATTGATATGGTGTCAACTAAAGATATATACCTGATGGCATCGAAATCCGGTGCTTTGATGGTCTCGTTGTATATGGGGTTGGATCCCTCCGCGGTGTGTTTGTTGGTGCCAGGCGCGAGTCCCATGCGGTTCAGGCCAGAGTCGACGGAGCCAAACTTAGTGAGGGACATCGCTTTCATGCGACGATTCAAGCTGATGGCATAGAAATTATTTTTATTAATTCAATCATTATATCTGTTAAAATTTTATTGATTTTTTCATAATACATACTTTCTTGACAAATTGATCAGGCGTGGGTGCCTGACCTGAGTAGTCTTAAGAGAAAGTTAAAATACGTGTTTGTAAAAATATTTGAATTTTACATCGCAAAGGAGAGGGATAATGTATCAATTATATATTTATTTATTGATAATCTGAAAGTCGTGAAGAATTAAAATACTTATCGTAAAGTATTTTGTACTCGTACATCTTTTGCGAATAGAGCCGAGAGCGCGACAAGCAGGTATACGGTGATCTGTCGTCCTTGTTAATACTCACGCTCTAGTCTTGCATATGAATGTGATCAGTATCACTATACACAGGAAAGCGAGCAGTGCCGAGAGCGCGGCGAGTACGTATACGGTGATCTGTGCGGCGTTGTCTACTATGCTGCCGGGGCCCGTGGATAGATCCTGCAGCACCAGCGAGCGCTCGTTGAGCCGCATCTGGATCTGTTGCAGGAGCAGCGTGTCGCTGCGTAGTCTGCAATATTAAATACATTCGATATATACGCTCAAATAGATTTATTCAATATTGGAATAAGACATTTACGAATGTACATTTGGGACCTGATGCGAAGCGGAGGGATGAAATACCGGTTGGCTATGTAGTCCTTCATGACAGGAGTATTTTTAGCTCATTCGCACACATAAACAGGGTTCATTTTATTGGTATGATTATTTTCGTCAGGCATTTGATCCTTTTCTTTAAATATTAATGAATAAGAATAAAATTCTGAAACAACAAGGCATTTACCCAAGAAGCGTAGATAGCTATAGCGGTAGTCATATCTGTTTTTGAGGTTTTTCGTTATCTTCAGTCACTCAAAAAGGAGCCACAGTGATAGCCCGTATTCCACATGCGGGAACTATCGATCAGTGTAAATGAGTTATACTTACGGTTCAATTTCTTCAGCGGGCACGGGCAAGTTGTCTCGTATGAAGTGCGCTCGCACTTCCGTCTTGTCTGTGGCGATTCCGTTATCGTCACTCGCTGGCAACACTTGGTCGATATTGCACGTCATTTGGAACGCCGCACTAAATATCTCCGCTATCTGAAGGTACGTTTAAATTTTACCACGGTTTGAATTCAAAAATAAATATTTTCCATTTTAAAATCTGTTCTTGAACTCAAGAGCGATTTGAAAATTTTAATATTGTTGGTTCAGATTGCAATTTTAAAAGTTAAATGATTACACAGACGTATAATGAAGTTTAATTACCAATTGAACAAAAGTACATTTTGTAAATACCCATTAAATAAGTAACTTTTAAGAATACTCCTCGCTGTTCAATAATATTTTTCCTAGTCATTCAAAATCATCACTTTTGGCAATGAAACTGGTTAAAACTAAAGTTACTTACGAAATCCGTGTAATTAACAACTTCGTCTAAAGTGTTATCAAATACAAACACTACTCGGTTTTGTGTCGATATCAGGAATATTTGCACTCGGGCCCTGCCGGTTTCGTTTGCTAGAAAAATAATAATACAAATCAATAGAGCCTAAACTCGAAAGAGTTACGTTATTAAATTAAAAAGTATCCATGACCGACTTCCAGTTCCATCATCAGATCCTGGATATTAGCTCAAACAAAGTCAAGACTAAACAGCTCCGACTCGATGGGGTTGTTTCGTTTAATTACAGAGGTCACATGACTACCTTCCAGCTCTATTAACAGTAATAATATTAGTCTATGTTATGAGTATTAATATTTCATTGTTATTCGAGTTAAAAATATGCCAAATTTCCAGTTCAGTCGTTTCGGAGAAAGTCAGTGTCAGACAGACAGATAATCGAGTGATCCTATTAAGGTTCCAATTGTTTCCTTTTGAAATCAACATCATCAACAGTCGTACGACGCCCACTGCTGAGCATAGGCTTCTCCATAGATCTCCAAGACGATCAGTCCTGCGCTTCCCGCATCCAGAGGCTCCGCGCAACCTTTTGAGATGCGGTGCTCCAAAATAGTGAATGCCCGTATCATTGGCGGTAACGTCGGACTGTTAACCGGAAACACGCTTTCCATCACCATACTGACCATATCTATGGCGTCGCCTAACGTACGAAGAGCCTGGTCATAACATGTTAATTATAATTACCAGTATCAGTGGCGATCACGTCGAACTGGAACATTCCATGCATATTAGCGGTCGGCTGCATGTTGAGAGTGAGTACGCCCGTCGAGGGGTGCAGCAGGAACGCCGCGCCCGCCACCGCGCTTAGGCTGCTGTCCATCTCCATACTGTCCATATCTATAGCGTACGTTATGGTGTCGCCTAGCGAATGATGAGCCTGTTCAAGACACGTCAACCTTTAAGAGTTATGGTACTCTAAGAAACTATACACTTGGTCTAGTAGTTATAAAATTTGCATAAGTCCAAGTCAACTTCCGCAAATTTTCAAACACGTCGAAAGTTGATTAGGAACGTAACTGGAAGTTGGCACTTGTAAACGCTCACGCAATGTGGACTTCTGAAGGTTTTGGTCACTTTTGCAAGACAAACGTGTATAGCTAATATAATTGCACTCGATAGATACAGTCATCAGTTAAGCTCTGTAAGAAAGTGCGGAAGTAATACCAGTGGACACTTCGCATATGAGACATTGTAGCTTTAACAAGAAACCTGTTTACAATACTCCTCTAATCTACGGCTTTTCGCCACCGATTACTCAATTGAATGATCAAGACCATCGAATTTATTAAATAAGCAATTCAATATTGAATTGAACAATATGCAATTCGAAATAGAATACGTAACTTTAAAATTATCAAAAATCGCAATATTCTATCTACTTCCATCACAAATTTTGGCTTTTAATGATAGGTACTGTAATTAAAATTCAACCATGGATAGAATTTTTTGTGTTTTCATACTAAACAACATGCTTACCTGAACCGTAAGGAGTTCTCTTTGAATAGTATCTAAAACCGATATGCCGGCGGTATACAGTTTTCTTTCGAAAACAGGTCGAGGATTCACTTCGATGACCTGGATAGAAATTATACATTTATGATTAAATTAAATTAAAATATCCCATTGTCTTGAAATGTCACTAGTTCGCAAATAATTGTAGATATTTGTTTTTGTTTTTGGCTAACTACAATAATAGTATAACTATGTATTAATAAATAGGTTATTATCAGAGGTCGGAATTAGGTAGAGTTATTTATGTACTTGCATCGAAATGTTGATATTAATGTGGACCTTCCCGGGATTTCTAATGGACAATCCTGTGTGGTTAACAATCTTACAACTAAATAATAATAACAACGTCAGAGATAGACAAATAAAACAAAGAAAATTAACATAAATTTTTTATTAGTTTACATTAATTTACAATACAAATTATTGCAACTTTGGACATCCGATGTCATTGATGTAAGTTTGGCAACGTCGTGCGTGCAGTAGTTTAAATTGTGTAAAAGTAAATAAATTTTTATTTAAAAAATCACTTGATTTTTTCTGCTCTTTAAAATTAATCTCGGGATTTGAGGCACATCCACTTTATTCTTTCGCTGTATGAAATCAGTGTAAGTACATGAATAACTCTACCTAATTCCGACCACTGGTTATTATCGTATTAAACAAATTGGTTATTGTGGTATTAAACAGTGAATTATTGCTCTCCGCAAATGTCGTACCGCCTTTATAATAATTGATTTAGTGGTGTATGAGTAAGGAAGAAAAAATACAGAGTTTTGGATGAGTGAAGAAATGAGATGAGACGTCATAGGATGAATACAGAACAACCCATTAAATCACGTACACATATTGTTTTTTTAATGTCTATTATGATTAAGATATAACAAACGCTCATGCTCGTTCACCCACATTAGTCATAGTCAAACAAATCGATTGCCATTTTCTTATTGATAAGTAATATTTTTTCAAATGATACTCGTATTTTAATAGTTCTTTTTTTCCAACTAAGATAAATCTAATTATAATCGAAAGACTGTCTAGCAATTCTTGAATTCATAAGTGTAACTAAAATGCAATTTTGTGATTATTTATTTAGGATGATGCACTAACATTGACGATGACAGTGAGCGTGGTGCCATCTAGCGGGGTGCCAGAGCCGGTGGGGGAGTTGCTTGCGGCGATGACGATGGTGTGCGTGCGGAGCTGCTCTTGGTCCAGTTCACGAGCCAGAGACAACAGATTATTTACTGGGTCCAAGTGGAAGTACTCACTGGTGGTTCCTCCTGGCAATGAATTAATGATGTACTCGAGTATAATAATTATGTATTTAATATGTATCATCAAATTGATAATTACAAGCACTTCTGAAGTCTGAAACTCTATACCAGTTATGTCAAATTATGGACCGCGATTATATGTCACAGAAAAAATCTTGGTTTAATATTATATTTGATTAATTTCGCACTCAGAATGCTATGCTTTTTGCTATAGCAAAAAAATAACAAGCGCTTGAAAGATTCGTCAGTCCTGTTAGATCCTGGGTAGTACAGTGGTTAGAGCAGTCGCCTGGATTGCGGAAGGGTTCGAATCCCATCTCAGGGTGCCAGAGACAAAGTGGATTTTATTAAGTATTTTCATTAAGAATATCTTTTCTTTGTTTTTAAGATTTTAGACTGCACCCAAAGCCTCTACGGAAGTTTGAAAATGCGCGCGCTTTATTTATAGGTTATTACAAGAGTAGCGCGAGCCTAGACGAACAAGATACCAACGAGTAAGTCAAACGGCCAGCCTACACATTTTAAATCAAATATTGATTTTGACACCCCTATTTTACAACATTGGTTCGTAAATCTATGGTCGAAGACTTTGTACCGCGAAGAACAGGCAAGAAACTTAGAAAGGGTTATGCCCTGTTTTATTTCTTACGTAGATACATAGTGTATGTTGTTGACTATATTAGAAGTGGTAGTTCACTCACCAGCAATACGATAGAAGATGTCGTTACAGTCGTCTGTGCATCCATAGTTTTTAGGGTCCTCCGCGAGTGGCAACTGGTGGCTCTCCTCTAAACCGATGGGACCCTCTAATGCGAAACATAAGTATGATAAACAGGCGCTTATCTTATTTATTATTATGAAAATATCTGTTTGTTCTCTATTTTAATTTGAAATTTTAAAGAAATTTGTACGATATTTTACGATATTGCTAGACTGAGAAGATATTGAAATGAAAAATCCTATACTTTAGACCAGGATTTCTTAAAGTGTGGTACGCGAACCCCATTAAAATTCGCCATTCGGTTTGATGACTTGACGATAAAGGTTAAAATTGTCCAAAATTATGTATTTGTTACTATTTATTTTAATCAAAACCTTATTTTGATTAGGCATTTAGTTAGTTAGTTACATCTTTTACTGGGGTTTGTGGAGCCAAAAGTATGAGATAGTACTTAGAAAATGTTTGACACAAAATTAAAAAATTATTTCGCACTTTCGTGGTCATCCTGAAATACTTTCTTGAAATAATGTTATAATATATAACATAAATAGTTTATTGTTTATACCGGTAAAAGGTACTGTAATAGAGTCCTCGTCGAAGATGGGTTCCCCTAGTGTGGTGACAAATAGTGCGCGGATCGTGGAGTCGGTGTGACGTGAGTGAGGCTCCGTGCCACCGTCAGTCGCGCGAATTGTTATCTAAACAAATTACTCATATTACTAGTGTCTATGGTCAAGAAGTATTTCTACTTAACCAATTTAGAACATTGAAGAGAGCACTCTTTACATCGTTAGTTAATAATTACTTTTGTTACTTTTTAATAAAAAAATTCTTTGTAAAGGGAGAGAGGTCATCAATGTAAATAGAAAAAGCAATGGCCCTAGTATTGAACCTTGGGGCATGCCATAAATGCTCTTGCAGACTCTGCTTCATTATTCTTAACTTTTTGTATTGTGGTTGAAATACGATCTTATGATAGAATTTTTACGACACTTTAGTACTTTTTTAATAGAGTTTCATGGTTGACGTTGTCAAACGGCTTTAAAAAATCACAAAATGTGCCGATTCATCATATTTCCATTGTATGTTTTAGAAGTAGGTACTGTAACAATATTATGAGCGGGTTTACTCTTTGGACTATTTTTTGTCAATGTTGATCGCAAATATTTTGAATTGTTTACTTTTCGGCGTTCGAATTCGCGTTGTCGTATATTGCCGATATATATATATATATATATATATATATATATATATATATATATATATATATATATATATAATATTTGTTTAAGTGTAATACTATAAAAAAATTAATAATATTATATAAAAATATCTTTAATTCCACGAAATAATCCCTATCCCATGTATGTGATATGGTAAGATCATTTCGAAACAAAATGATACCTCGTAAAACGAGAAAGTTGTTTTTATATATTACGCCATTGCATAATACATACATTAAAAAAAAAATAGAACCGACTTCAAAACTTAAAAAAATTACAAATAATACTTACCTATCTCAAAAGCGACTTACGGTGAGTTGCACAAACGTCCATTAAGGTTTAATGAGGCCTTTAAACCATAATGAATGTCAAATTTGTATCGATAAAGTCGCTTTAAATTAGTGACATTTTTAATGGACATTTGTGCAAAATACTATTGAAGTTGGCCGCCTATCATTTAATTAATATTATTTATTTAACCTACAGAAGACCTCCGCCTGACTTCAATAGCATTTTCTTGAATAATAAACTTTTGAGAAAAGTATTAATATTCTTTTTCAATTTGAAGTCTGTTCTATTTTTTTAAAGATTTTATAGGTAGATTATACAATGTCATGATAAATACTATGATTTACTTTTATTGTAATAACATCATATCAAAACTGTGATGTGACTATGGTTTATGTTTGCACTAAATATAAGAAACAAATTTCAGTGTTACTTATCTGCTTAAAATATACGTAGTAATTCAAAGAATCTGAGGTTTTGAGGCACTGTATGCTGAAAGACGGGTATCAACTCCGTACAACAGCAGAGTCTAACTACGAGTAAATAGGTACACTATATGATAAGCTTGTAACGGTGTGCCATGCCACCGTTTGTTTTCCTAGGTTTCAGTATGCAAACTTTTTGTTTTTGAAATTTAACATCATTTCATTTTATTATTCGTCTTTCGTAATTTAAAATTTTGACTAATCAATTATACTTTTTATGGATGTCAGTTCGTAAGAAATTCTTCTATACACAACATGAAAATTAATATACAGTATTAATCGTATAAATTTTATTATGTAATTTTAAAATAATTTATTGATTGTGATAAAGAATGTAATATTGTGATACAAATTATATAACATATGTACTAAATTGCAATCTGTATTTTGGACGATCCAAGAGTTTAACTAGAAGCCCGACAAGGGGTATGTATTCGTTTATTTGATAATTTGTATGTATTAGTTAAGTAACTTACGAACTGTTTTATAAATTAAATTTTTGTTTGTTACAGTTTCTTATTTACCCTTATATAATTAATAAATCTATACTCAAGCTAATCAGCCTTATTAATTGGCCCAAGCACCAAACCCGTCACAAGCTTAGATGTAAGAAAAACATGTATTTTTGTTTCGTTGTGGTCTAATAAATATTATTATTAAGTGTTTGTAATGACCGGCATTATAATTAATTTACCTGGAATTCCGTGACGTCGTCATCGGGGACTTTGCTCAGTAAAAGCGTGGCGCTGTTTTCACCATCATTAGTAATAGTGAAGTGCTCAATTGCAGCAGCTGTTAAAAAAACGTGTATCGTTCTTTGATCAACGTCTCTTTACATATTTCTAATTTAATGTGGTTGGCAGAAGAGTATGAGTGCTAAACCCCTAAAGGTAACTTATTTTTTCCCAATAAACGTATTGAAATTAAAAGAAAGAAATACAGTCTTATTGATAAAAATGACATGTTCTTAGACAAATCCAAAGATGCACTTAAACTAGTTGATGCTAGAGTAGCGGAGTATTCACTTAGTTTTCGCAAAGTTATTAATAAACATGGAGTATCCTCTGTTTGACAATACCTTTAAGTTTTTTTAACAATTACAATTTTGCCTCTGTCCATTACTACAAAATTTTCAAAGTTTAAAATATGTTTTTTAATGGATAATGCTAAAAAGCCCACCCGCTACCATTACTAATGTTCGGGCAATCCAACTTATAAAGCTGAAAGATATATTTTAAATTTTCGATTTAGATGTAATTTAATTATTATACTTGGTCAATTTTGCAATCACAATGCTATACTGATAAATATTTTCTACGCGCTATATTCACGCACGAAGGGTTCCGTATCCATTAAAATTATCCATTAAAAAGTAATAAAATAAATTGCGTTTGTTGTTTTCTATGGAGTTGTTCGAAACTTTCGAATTAAATACAAATACTCAAAGTCTATATTACTCATAAACTAGTAAAGCTAACTTAAGTGTGATAGTTTTCCTTTTAACTTCATTATATATAGGTGCTACTGCCGCCCATGTTTGAATTTTTACCTACAACCGTTAAGTTGGTAGAGGGGGGGGGGGACATTTGACTCTAACGAAAAATAGCTCTTTTAAGCTTAATAAACATATAACATATATAGCTTAATAAACGTATAGCATTGTCAATAAAAAATCGATCAAGTTACAAAATTACTAATCAATATAAAAATTACAATATCCAAAAGCAACAAGAGGGTTCCACACGTTTTAAAAACAAACCACGAACACGTACAACAAATACAAACGTGTTAGATTAAGTGCGCGGGTGATTGGATTTTTCACTAATCATAGGATCCACGAAATACACAAGCGCGGATGCATGTTTGTGTTAGTTTTAGGCATGTGACCACCCAGTGGCGGACTAATCATATCGGAGGTCTGGGGCGGCAACTTTTTCTAACCAGGGAAGAAACTCGGTATTGGTATTTTACACTCCACCCTTTTAACTTTATTATAATTTTAGCGGATGGTCCTAAGACCGGCGACCCGGCGCGGTCTGCCTTTTCCGCCCCCTTTAGTCCGCCACTGCATGTACCGCTAGCATAATATGTATGATGAGCTTACCGTCGCCAAAGATGGAGAAGGTGACACTGCCCGCGTGCAGACCGTCCTCATCAGTGGCGCTGAGACGCTCCAGTACGTTACCGTCCGCCGTTATCAACAGATTGTTCGCCATCGAACGCTCCTGATAATTAGTTTATATATTACATGCTGTTTATAGCCTATGTCACCCATGTGAGATATGGCTTCACGTGAGTGGAAGAATTTTTAAAGTCGGTCCTATAGTTTCAGAGCCTATTTGATGCAAACAAACAAACAATCATCTTTCCTTTATAAAATATTGTTAACATTCCGCCAGTGATATCGCCCTAAGGAACCTAAGGAGCTGTTCATTAGGATATCGATTTATATCATGAGATGGATATAATTACAATGACAAATTTAATAGTTTTAATTGCCCATACAAACGTTCACTAATATTATCATCCCTTTATTTGGTGTTTTTCGGGATAAAATAGTAGGTAAAAGAATTTTAAAATCGGTCCGGTAGTTCCGGAGTCTACTTGATGCAAACAAACATACAACCAAATCTTTCCTCTTTATAATATTAGTTTAGAAAGCTATTACGTATAGACTAGTGTTCCCGCATACTTTAATTCCTAGGGAACCGTTAAAAATGATATGAAAAATATCACAGTTCACTCGAACCAAATGTTCTGATAGTAGGACGTAAAAATGTTGGACAATATAATTTTTTTTGGTAAGTGTTTGACGACCTTCGTGGCTGAGCGGCTGGTACGTGAGTTTCAATGTATCGCAGGTCCGGGTTCGATTCTCACTCATACAAAACACAAACTTTTCTATATTATCTCCGGCCTGGATGTCGTGTTACTCGTTTCCTATTTGTTTCAGATTTCCATAAAACAAGTTTTTGATCTACTTAATTTAGGATTTAAGTAAAATTGGTTTAAGAGTTTGTCTAATATTGTTATTGTTAATACTGCTTAATTTCGCTCTGTGTCCGAACAGCTGTAGATCTGGAGAGTCGTATCTCTATCGAAATAGATTCTAGAGGGCTAAATTCTCGATGAAATATTGGTTACATTTGATTTTCTTTTATATATATGTAAAAAATAACAATTTAAAATTATTCTTACCCTGGCAAACCTAATAGTGGCCCCTGGTCTCGGGAACACGAATACTGGATCATGGAAGTTGTATGGACGAATCTCAACTGGGCACCACATATCCGTGTGCAAAGGTTCTTCGCCGTGATCGAACGCCTGTATATGTACATATATCATTTGTTTCCACTAAAGTAAAAAAAATGATAATTAAAATAAGAAAAAAGAGCAGGGTCTTTTCTTATTTTAATTAACAATTTATTTATTAAGCCAAAGACAATAGACATCCATCGAAATGTTAGGAAAAATAAATGAATTATATAAAATGATTTATAGGTATACACACATAAATAAAAATCATAGGGCGTTTCATCACTCAATTATTCTATTCGATCAATTTTCCATTCACGATTCTACACCGATTTTTATTTTATTAATAATGCTTAAAAAATCTACTTTGTCCCAGGCACTCTGAGATGGGACACGAGACGACACCTTTCGCAATTCGGGCGACTGCTGTAACCACTGAGCTGCCCAAGACCTAACAAAACTGACGAACTTTTCAAGCAATTTTTACTTTTTCGCTAATACAGAGCGTATTTTCAGGCAATCTACCCAAACAGACGAAAGAAATATAGAAAAAAATATTTAAACTTTTGATAAAGATGTTCTAATTATTATATTTCATTAATTTTGAATTCACAATGCAATAAATAATTCTAATTAATTAAAATTGATGAAATGCTAGTAAATTAAAACATTTAATAACTAAACCATCGTCATAAGTCTGTTGTAAGGTTTATATATAAAGATCTACCACTTTTTTCGAAAATTAACAATCAAGAATAAGAGAGGACCAAAATGGGAACCCTGAGCAAATGTATTTCCACTCAAATTCAGTAAATTCCAAATTCAATAAAATATTTAAGGAGCTTGACGTAGCAATTGTTGAGCGTTCGGTTCACGAGAATGGAGCTTAAGCAATTTTACGCAAAAAAATTACAGAGTTGCCTGTCAAATTAAACTTATTTTTTTATGGTGAAAATTTCAATGAGAAAAAATGTGAATATTTATTTGCAATTGTAAATATTATCTGTACATTAGAGGCAGTATCAGATCCTACCTTCATTGCACCATAAATTATCGAAAAAAGTTTCTTTGGGTCATAATATCGTTTCGAAAATAGACGAAATTTTGTTTTCGCAGAAACAGAGGTCTTCTAGTACGGCTGTTCTTTAAATTCAATATATTGTCAACTGTTTCGTCGTCTGTCCTAGTTTAAGTTACTTGTTTTCAACATCATAGGATAGGATAAATTGATTTTCAGTTAAACCCCTGATTTCGCCCCGTTTCTCTTTACCTTTAGGTTTACCATTTAATGTTATATGTATTTACTCTTTGACGAGTGAAAGAGTAACTTGTACTAATTTTTTCACGAAAAATTTTCCTTTTGTCATACTAACGCTTTATATTTTATTCTTACGTTTGTTTTATGTTCTTTTCTTCCTACAATTAAAGTGAATTGTGTTTATTTATGCACTGATCAAATATCGTCATATTGCCAGCCATCATTTCTCTATTGATACGTGACAGAAGCACCTCACCTTAATATGTACCATGTGTGTGCCCCAGTAGCCTCTCAAGGCCTGAGTTGTGCGCAGTCTCGCTCGGTTCCCATCCTCACGTTCAATAAGGTACGTGTCGAATAGTATCGGCAAGTCTATATCTCTAGTGGTGGTCATATTTAAGACGCTGTAACCGACCCGCGAGTTGTCGGTACCGGGCTCATCTATATCTGGTGCGAAGATGATCGGATCTACTAGCTCGCCCTGGTGAATAGTAGAAAATGTATATGTATACAGGATGTTTATAATACACCTGCGACTTTGCAGAACTAGATGACCAACATAATAAACGGCAATTTATATGCTATTTCACACAGCGTGTAAGTGCAGAATCGTTCTTCCATCTATGAATAAAATATAGATTTGAAAATCTTAGGAGAAATCTGGACCTGAAAAGCATTAGGTCGGATGTCGGGAATCTTAGGCATAACTGTATAAAAACAGAAATAGCTAAATGCAATCAAAATATTTGAAAAAGTCGTCTGATCCGACTTTATGCATGACTGTTGCTCATGAGTAAAAAGGCACAAACATACAAGAGTTAATTTGCCGGAAAGAGAATTTGCCGAAAATATTATAAACTTAAATATTATAGGCTTAGCTGCGTGGTTCAAAGGGTCCCGTCTTAACCGGAAACCCCTTCTTAATTAGCACCTACGTCTTAAAAAGAACCCCTAAAATTATAGAATCTTAGCACTTGTAGTAAAGTTTCATACAAACTATCACCCACAAAAACAATCACTTAGTACACGGTCTCCCGCCGTAGATTTACGAACCTTTCTAGCTTTCGACTTTCACTTAGATTGTTTTAGCTTAGACTGAATAAATGACACTGAATTAGATATTTAAATGTACTTGAATAGATGACAGGTTTTATCTCTGAAGGCTCCGATTGTTCGGGTTTCCTTTTGTACCATCTCAAATTCTCAATACATTGAGAATTATACATAATATTTTTAAGATATCTCAAATTAGATGGTTGCTATGTTTTGATTGTTTCATGTTAACATAACACAAGATAATTTTTGTTTGACTTAAATCTAAACATTTACCCAGTTAATATAATGAGTATGAAAGTTTACCTCTAGAAGTCCTTCAGAGATAGACCACGATAGATCATCAGGTAATTCAGGAGCATTGTCATTGACGTCTAATAGTATAATTTCTATAGTTGTTGTGTTTTGGTTCCTTCGTCCATCTAAAACGCAATATCATTATTATCAGCCTGTAGCCACCAACTGGGACACAATTTTACTCTATGGAAATAATAATATTGGGCGAAGTACATAACCCACCAAGTTAACCCATTACAGATAGCTAGGTAACACGGCAAATGCAGCCTGCACATACGGCATAATGAGTCTTCTGAAGCACAGAAGTAATAATAATCAAGATCATAAATATGTCGCTTAATATTGCCCAAAAACTAACACTTTCAGAATAATCATGAAGCCTTCCTACTGAAAGTGAGCATCTAATGTAATGACGAAATATACTGCGTTATCTTTTCTTATTCTTTACATACTGATATTTGTCTGTTTATAATTCAGAGGGAATAATATCTAGTCTAGCAGTAGACTGATGATAGTTTCCCTAAGACTAGACTATATTTAAAGACTGAATAAAAGCCTACCTCCAGCTGTGAAGAAGTTATCGATGAGATTAACGAATATGGTATGCGTCGGTTCCCCACGGTCCCGGTCCAGCACTTCGTCCGTGGTGTAGTTCACGAACAGCATACCCGTGTCTAGGTCTATATCAAAGAACGCTCTCAGCCGCGGATTCCAGGCGTAGTTGATTTGGTAGCGCACTTGGTGGTACAAATCTGGAACACAAGACCACAAGAAGTCATTACGATCGACTAGTTACTATAATTTGCATAGACAAAGCTATATTGCTTTAGCCAGTGTTAGTGGTTTTGTCTAGATATTTTTTTTCTTTTTTTCTTGGGATAGGGGGCAGACGAGCTGACGGATCACCTGATGGTAAGTGATTACCGTCGCCCATGGACACCTGCAACACCAGAGGGGCTATAAGCGCGCTGCCGGCCTTTGAGGGATGAATATGATCATAGGAAGGGAAGGATTGAGGGGTAGAGGGAAGGGAATAGGGAGGGGTTGGGCCTCCGGTACCCTCACTCACACGACGAAACACAACGCAAGCGTTGCTTCACGTCGGTTATCTGTGAGGCCGTGGTATCACTCCGGTCATCAATTTATTTAATATTATCAATTTAAAATTCGAGATGCATAGACTTTTTTTTCAGGTAATTTATATGATTTTTCTATTACTATATATTTAATAACTCTGTGAAAGTCGGTGCATAGTTCTGTCGCATATAATCCGTCTTGCAACATTATTATCTTGGCCCTTCGGTTATCCGTCTTCGGACATAGGCTTCATCTATCTATCTCTACTTTTTTCTACTCTCAGTTGTATAAGTACAATAGGGATGCCTGTTAAACATGCTGCATGTTTCACAGGATGATTTACCAAGAGGTCTCTCAGGTTTTCAGTGACAAACTAATATAAAATATAACTCACCATCTCTGTCGAGGTCGCTGGCGAATATCTGTTCGATTTCGTAACCGCTAGTGACGTTCTCCCAGACGGGCACCACAGTTCTGAACAGATCAGTCTGTTCCTCCGGAAATTTGTTGTTCGTATCGAGAATCTCTATTTTCATCTGTTACGATATCAATAACTGCTTTAGTATCTTTGTATTTTTTAGCTATATCTCTAATTTCAACTATTATATCATGTTCTATAATAAAAGGAAACTAATGAATTACTGAATATTTTTATTGCACTATGAAACAAACAGAATAAGTACATTATACTAGATATAGTAACACAAAAGGTGGCCCTATTATTAAGTAGCAATCTCTACCAGGCGATCCTAGGCTAAAGGAAACTATACCGATTATATATGAAAATTAAAATTAATTGCGTATTTGGAGAAACAACACATGAAAATATTTATAAATAAACATGCATAATTTATAATAAATAAATAAAATAACAGATAGAGTTCAGGAAGAATCGTCTACCTTGAGGAAATATTCCCTTCTCAATTTAATAAATAAGTTGCGTGACTGCCCTCGTCTAACATCTGGCAGAAAATGACTTGGTTAGAAAATCATCATGTTCTATTGATATGGATTTGTGGAAAAAATGCGGACGAAACAATGACGCGAATAATACACAACTTCAAAGTCAAAGAACGAGAAATCGGGTTCAATCAATGAGATCAATTTTCGCGTGGTATATCAGAAGTTATGTCAGAAGCTAACGTCGGCGACGCGTGTAAAAACCAAGCCTAGTGGTGATTATTCATGAAAAATTAATATAACGAGCAGCTATTATTCATCCATACTCACGTAACCCGTTGTGTTAAAGTACATGGGATCTGGCGGGCATTCTTCCTCCAGGCATCTATCACTGGCCGTTACTTCATAGTAGAGATAGTGACGTGGCGGTACATCAGCATCTATAGCCTCATCAGCATCCACTGTGAGCTGACCCGATATGAGATCTATTTTCACTAGTCCGTCCGGAGTATCATTTATAGGTCTACAAAAAATACATGCACATAGATATTAATGAATCGTCAAAAAATTGGTCAAGCAAATCTCACGCCCTAATACTTTCGCATTAATATTAAATAAAACATATGGATTTTCCTGTAATATATACACCTACTACTGTCTTTTTTTCAAAATTTTAAGCCAAGCACCAGCGGTGGATCCTCAGAAAAAGGTTGTAATCACAATCACTAGAGAACGGACAAAGTGTGAGGTGGTGCGAGCAAAGGGTGAACTCCTGCCCCAAAATAGTGCACGATCCTTCAAAGGAAATGAAACGGCTTTGGATTACTGATTTTCATATGTGTACTAAATTTCAATTGGGCCAGAAGTTTCAGAGTAAATCAGTTATTTTTTTTTTAGTTTATTTATGTTATGATGCCTTGCTTAGAAATGTAGCTTTAATCGGTGAGCCACATTTGTACTTTACCGTACTTACTGTATAGAGTAGTGCACGTTGTTGTAGAGCGGTCCGTCGATATCTGTGGCGAGAACTGAGCCGATGACGGTCCCGGTGGCGGACACCTCACGCACTCTCATCGACTGATCCAAAGTTCCCTCTGAGAATATCGGTGCGTTGTCGTTCATGTCGATAATGTTCACCGTGAATATCGCTGTAAATCAAAAGTCCCATGATAATAATGTTATGTAAAAGGACCTAGTTTTGGTTCAGTAATAGTACACATCAGCCCTTTTACGTCCCCACTGCAGGGGCTCAGGCCTTCCTTATGGATGGTTAAGGAGGATGGGCCATGACCCTTCACGCTGGCTCAATGCGGATTGGAGGGTATTAACGACTGCAAATGCAGCCGGGACCAACGGCTTAACGTGCCTTCCGAAGCACGAAGTAGCTCGAGATAATAATTTTTTGGTCACCCATCCCGTGACCGACCCTAGCGAAAGTTGCTTGACAACAACGATCGCGGCCCGCGGCGCTTATCCTCTACGTCACCGAGGTACTTCAGTAATTTTACGGGGTGCAAAAATAGGAGGAGATGATTTTTCTATGCAAGCCTGATTGTATGTAACCTTAATCGATTACGTGCAGAAAAAAGTAGCTGTATGTGATAGATTCTTCTGCCTGTGACTATAGTTGCGCATTATAAAGTATTGAGGAGTAGTCCCGTTACGCTATAGAGAAAAATATCAGATTGAAATAAAGTTACATTGAAAGTGTAGAATCGATGGGATTTGCAATTTGAATAGTTAGTTAAATTCTAATTTCCACTTACATACGTCGTAATGAATAAATAATAGGTTCTTTTCTAATTATTCGTAGAATAAATAAACTAGCTCTGATGTTTTTAATATACCTTCATCATAGTCGTCTCCATACACGGTGTTGAGGTCTCGTACCCTGATGCTGAGGTACAACACCTCGAACTCTTCGAAGTCAATGGTGACGTTGGGTCGGATCTCTCTCACCTCGATAATACCAATGGCTGACCCCATGTTCCCGTCAACATATTCTGTTTTAATCGTTACGCAACTGAAAATAAACAGCTTGCTATTAAATAGTCTGAATGAGCTAGTGGGTTTGAATTAAACAGTTGAATAGGTTAGCTGACATTTTTTATAATATTATAAACAAATAGTCAAGAGAAATAATATAAGAGTAACGTCATGTCTGCGATTAATAGTTTACATAATCCTATTATAGTCAGATCAACTCAATCTTGCGCGCAGAAGTATGAATGGGTAATTCTTGTACACATTGATTAATACAGTGGTTTAATGTGTGGTTCAAAAAGTATACAGCCAAATACAAATAGAGTAATATCAATAAATTTAAAATAATAAGGAATAACTGGACCAGCTGTAACTATTGTATATTACTACAAACTTTGTTTTAAAACAAGGTTATAGTAATCAGCTATGATTTATAATATGGATTCTTTAAAATAATTTAATTATAAATGAAAATCACTTTATTTTTTTATTTTCAAACTGTTATTAGTGCCAATTCTAACTAAACAAAGAACGAAAGAGTTTAACCGTCTTATTATAAAACGTGGACTAACTTTAGTGCCAGGTTTAACCACTATAAGAGCAAAATAGTCAACATGTGTAAACTTAACGTTTACTCTTCTATCACTGTCAATTTGCTTTAGATGGCGTTTGGTTTAACTGTGGTTTGAGTCAAGTATTAACTTAAGCCCTCGTTGTATAATAAGAAGGTGGTAACGGTAAAATTCTGCCGTAAAGAAATACAATATTTAAAAAAATATGCCAATGAGTACTCGTGGTATTCGTCCTCATGTGTGGGTCGTCCCTGCTTGGTGGCCCAGCTCTCATCCCAGTTGATCTCGAACACGAGGTGCGCGGTGGTATCAGGGTCCGTCGCTCTCAGGTTTTCCTCCACGACATATCCTTCTGGTACATTCTCTTCCACACTAGGACTCGCTCTAGGCTATAATCAGTATACAATCTATATACGACCGACATACTACAAGTAGCAGATCTGAACAAGCGTCAAGTATTGTCAGTAGTGGAAAGTAATTTCTTTCACTTCATTTCATTTATTCATTTGCCACAAACATGGTTAATAAGATAACAGAGTTAATTTTTGATATGCACATCATGTTTCACTTATTACTAAGCATGCAATTTTATATAATCTTGATATTTAACTATTATTGAATTTACAATGTCAATATGTATAATATAGATCTGTATGTCTAATAATTATAATGTTTAATGTTTATACAAATTTGAATTTCAAATGTACATGTGATAAGAATGACGTAGGTATGGTACGTACAAGAAAAGTAACGGACTGTTCAAATTGTATATCCGGGCCTGGATACGTTTGTAGTACATATATTGTGATAATGTTTTAATTAATTGTATTTGAGTTCAATTGTGATGTTTATCTTGATCCCGTTTAGTAATATATGAGGCTATGCCATCTAAGATAGCCTATTGCTTTTGTGAGCTAGTATTAAACGACTAACTAACTACACGTTACTTTGCAGACATGCTGTCGTCCAATCAGAATAAAGATAACTGCACACGTAATCAGTAATCACTCATGCTGCAAAACCTTGGGCTTGCTTAGGCTGGAACTTATTGAAGGCCCTTTTTGAGTCGGTGATCATTAAAGATTAACTTGAGTAATAGCACTTACCAGCCTTAAAGTAGGCGGCGTGTTATTAACGTCTTCCAGTTGTATCACCAATTGTGTGGTGGTTGTATGAGTACTGCGATCCAATGTTATCAATGTGTCGTCAGCGCGAATCTGTACCAAGTAACTCTTCTTGTAAACAAAACATTAAACTAGTATTATCTTTGTTTAAGTCGGTATTAAAATTTGTATCGGCCCTGATATTTTGTAAAAATCCAAACCCGAACTTGAATTAACTCAGGTGTCGGAATTCACTTCAAAAAGCGGCATCCGCTCAATCTTGAATTGGTAATAACGTTTCGTGGCATAAGTGAAGTGAGTTTCGAAATATATTCAACCAATTTTGTTTTGTATTTTTATACACAAATGGAACCAATTATTTTTTACACTAAATGACGTGAATACGGACAACGGTCTCGATTTTTACAGAATCGCAAGTATTGAGCTTGAAGGTGGCTATATTTTTAATTTAAGATGTCAAGGATGATCTCTATCTAGCATGGAACCTGTAAAGTATCCGAAATGTTTGAAAAATGTACTTTATTTTTTCAAAATAAACGCGGTAAATTGTTTTTTAACAATTTATTGTTGATCTTTCCTATTATCGTTAAAACACCATTAAAGGTAAATAGCAAAAATCAAGTCTCGATTAATTTTCCCGCAGCTGAAACCTAAGCCGTCTTATTTTTAAAGAAGCACCAGATTTAAACCATTATACGTCTAAAAAAAGTAAGTCACCAATTTGACGTTTCTCTTCTGTCATTCTCAATTTGCATACGGCCGCCTTGGTGATGTGGTTTAAAATCATATACCTAGGTACTAACTTAAAGTAATTTATAAGACTGATAAATGACTGGACTATAACAGGAAAAGAAAAATAATAAAATGTTATTAAGCTAACCTGCACGAACAATATGTTCTGTCGATGATAATCAAAAGCGTCGTCGACTTTAACGTAAATATTCCCACTTTCCTCGTCTATACGCAGCAAGTCCCCGGCGTTACCCATCAGTGAATGTCTGGAACGAAATTACCATAGTGAAACTTTTTCGAAAAGTCGCAATTCTCAACAACATTCTGCAACCAGTTGTTGATAGATTCTACCAACTACTGTATCACAAGCAGTGAGATATTTCCCATCCTCCCTTAGCTGGGATTATACTATTATCATAAGTTGTTATGCCGTTTCTAAATTATAATCACTAGCTGCTTTCAACTTCGGCGAAAATTTATAAAATGTGAGCATGTTGAAGTTAAGAATTTTACTGAGAAAATAGTTTTTGGCGCGCTATCCTCTGTCCCTAGCTATCTTATTGGAGGAAGTTGAGTTCGTCGCATTTTCTGTTTTGTTTTCAGCATCTACAGTCGTTCACACTCATTATTCTCGCTAGAACCGCATGACGTTGTGGCCTGTTATCCTTGTGCGATTCTACATTGACAAGCTGATAAAATATTACTTGGAGCTAATATAACTATGGTCACTCACACGACTTTATCATCAATATCGCGGTCTGTAGCGAGCACCGTGCCCACGAAGAAGTCCTTTTCTACTGTCTCTTGGAAGGTCACGTGGTATGCTGTCTCTTCGAATATTGGCAACTCATCGTTCCAGTTTATCAAATCGATATAAAGAGTCGCGACACCAACGAATTCGGAATTATTCTTGTCTGTTGCCACTAGCTGCAACAGAGTTTATTAGATCAGTAGTATTAGTTTACGAACCTATTAAATTTCTTTCCTGCTTCGTAGAATTATGTCTAGAAATCATGTCTTTTGATGAATAGAACTATGAACCATATTTATGTAATTTCGGATATTTTAGAATACATATAACATTCTATGAAATCATGGTTTAAAACACCCTGGTAGAAAGACAGATTTTATAACATTGTCACCTCCAAAATGATATTTTGAAATTCAGGGACTTCGTAGTCAAGCATGGTGTGATTGACGGTGCTCATAATGAACGTCTGCCGTTGGTAACCCTCGTCAGGTGATATGGCGAAGGCTGAGGCGGCGCCCGGCGGGAACACGTCTCGCAGCTCCACGGTGTACTGAGCGTTTTCACCCTGTCGATACACAGGAATAGTAACAAAAAATAATTATATTATTTTCATTATCATTGAACTTGAACTTTTGAAACTGGGTTTATTTATCAATTTTACCTAATAGCGGAGTGATTAAAGTCTTGGTGTATGATTCATTAGGGTTGAGTTACGTCTGGCAGCACTATATCGCTTTTTTCTATCGCCGTTTAGGAACCGTAAGGTTGAATGTGTGGTCCATACTGTGATGATGGAGACAACTGGCCTGGGAGACTAAAGGATAATCGTCTCCCTCCGAGCTAGGGAAACTTTTTGCAGTTCGTCATGCTATCGATGGCTGTGACGATGCTAGTCTTCTCGCTATCGATTGTTGTGGCGATGTTAGTGCGATGAGTTAGATGTCGCTATGTATCAGTCGCCACAGCCGTTTACCAGAGCGAAAAAGATAACAGCTTTGTGGATAGCACATTACATAATCATCGCGACGATATAATTAACCAAAACAGAATGTCCGACCGATTTCAATAACATTTTCATGAACATATGGACTAGTTAATAGGCCCTACAGACTCACGCCGGCAACACCCAAAACTGAGAATGTGATATGTTTCTCGCCTTCTTGTTCCTGGGTTCGTGTGCTTCTTTAAGGGGATGTCTCGGGCGAGAAAGAGAACCTCGTCACATTCTCGATTGTGTACAGAGCGTCGTGAGTTTAATTATTAGTGAGTTCATTGGATATTAAATAACCTTGTTCTATTTGGAGGAATTTGTAACATCCACCATCGTCTGGGGCTCATTTTTTGATTTTTTGTCATAAAACTAGTTTTTTACTCACCAAAGCGTCTGCCTAGTAAAGTCGTCCATATCCGAGAACGGAGAGAACTAGATTGAGAACTCACCGTGAGTGTGAACAGTGAAACTATTTAATTTCTTTCACTTCTCATTAGAAATAGTTTTAGTGTTTTTGAAGTTGATTTCATTTGTTTTGTTCCTATCCAACTACTCTATATACACTAACTACACTATTTAAATATGATCTATGCTTTACTGCACGCTTCTTTGCTTACAAATAAGCTTTTGTCAATGGTTACAGTTAAATTTAAGTACGACTAGGTTTAATTTATATACCATACTTACCAAGTCACGATCATGGAATCCAAAATCGCGTCCAAAGTTTAAAGTGACCGGTGTTTCTTCTTCGATTTGAGTGCGATACTCCTTCCTGAGAGGCTCCGGTCTTTGGTCGTTGATGTCGTTGACAATAATAATGACATTGGCTTCAGTGGCGAGGGACCGGTTGTCATATTTATGTGCGACTATTGTCAGACGGAACAGTTCCCTCTCGAGTGTATCTCTATCTATAGGTGCCACAAACAGAGTTGCTCCACCCAATTCATCGTCGTTGGGTTTGATAGAAAAAAAGGTATCTGAAAGTTTTTGATAAGCATTATTCTATTAAAACAATGTGAATGACAACGGTATATTAAATCGAACTTGTATTATTTTCCTGTGTTTAATATGAGTCTGAAGAATGTTAAAAATTGTTTTTTAGATCACAGGATTTCCATTCAATTTTACAGAAGCTTTAATTGGTGGATATTGTATTATTTAAATATATAATATTATTTTTTAAAGTCATCTAATTTTGTGTTTTTTTTTATGTAAAAGACAACTAATATTAGCAATAAAAAGACTACTATTATAGAACATAAACGAGTCGTACAACATTAAAGAAAGTAAGGTTTAAAGGATTCTAATAGTTGATAAATCTTTAGGCACCTTCAGGATCGGTGATTAGATAGTAGTCGATCCGCTTGTCGATCTCAATGTCGGCGTCGATGGCGCGCACGATGAAGTTCTGTTCTGTCTTCTCGTCGAACTGCTGCACCGCGAATATCTCTACCCAGCGAGGTGGACGGTGCTCCACGTTCTCTACTCGCACCAACATTGATACAGTATCGTTGTTTGGTAACGAGTCCTAATGTAAACACGCCTTTTGTTACATCAAATATGTTTATTAAACTAGCTGTTATTAAAGGAAATACTGAGAGCTTTTACGCTGTAAAAAGCATCTCATGTCTTGTTTTTAGTTTTACATGCCCTCACTCAATGCTTATACCATTACGATTTTGTTGCGTCGTAAAAGACGGTAAAAGAATCATACACTCATACATTATTACATACAGATAGAGAGGCAGACTCATCACTTTACAGAGAAAGTACCATAATCTTCCATAATTCAGTGTGAATTAGAGGATAACTAACTAACTAACGACCGCAGGCAGCATTCTAGAGAGGATAATAGTATCTTATGTGATCAGAAACAAAATTATCATGACACATACCCTAGCTACAACAGTGAAACTGTGAAGTCGATTTGTTTCGAAATCGAGCGGCCTCGTGATGCCAACGGTCATCGTCATCGTCTGCCAGTCAGCTGAATTGTACTCTCCCTTCATGTAAAATATTTCATTATCATTCCTCTCACTTAGCACTTCGAACGTCATGAACCGGGTGCTGATCTCTCCGTCTCTGTCTGTTACTTCGTATACGCATTCTGTTAGGCGGGCATCGCCGAGTTCCTGAAAATGATATTACTTTAATGAAATAGCTAAAATAAATCGTGCTTATACTGAGCTTGAATGTAATGCTCATTTACAAAAAATATCAGCCAAATATAACAGAAATATATCTAAGTCTTTGATTTATGACATTTTGTATACTGGTACATATGTACATGTCTCTAGAAATTATGTAAGTAATATTTACACATATGTGGTAATACGCGGCATGCGGTAAAAAGTCAAAGTCAAAGTAATCTTTATTCAAATAGACTTCTTAAAAGTACTTTTGAATTGTCCAACATTTTTTTCCCTACTGCTCGTTCAGGACGTCTTTTGGCTGATAAGAAGAACTAGCAAGAAACTCACCAGCTCTAATACGAGTAATAACATTTACAAAAACAAATGGTTTAAGCTAAATTATAATTAGCTACGATGGTACAAGGCATTTTCAGAGGTTTGATCTATCGTTAAACGTTGCTGATTGATTACTCACTGGCACCACGCAGGGCTCCAGTGCATGTATGATGGGAGGATTATCATCTATATTCACTATTACCAACGTGACACCAGCTTGGACTGTCTCACCCGGAACTTGGATCAGGAACTGATAGAGTTGCATCATTTGAATCTCGTAGTCTTGCCTTAAAAGTTCACAACGCAATTAACACTAATCTATAAACTAGATTCAATATGATTATTTTATAAAATGCCATAATATCTGTGTAGTAGTCGCAATAAAGTCTGCAACTAAAACTAAAATTAAACCTACTTGTAGTAGCTTAACTCGTGAAAGTGAAGAAAGTAATGTAAGTATGCGGATGGATAAGATAGATTCCTTTGACAGTAGCGGTATCTGAAGGTAGTTAAGGCAAAGTAGGTACTATTTCTGTTAGTGCTTAAGCTCTTAGACGGCATCATTTATTCAGACTACATATAATCACAGTTATGCTTTATCCACATAACTTAAAATCATAAAGAACAATAGATCTAAGTCTTCAGCATTAATAGTATTCGCAGAACGAGCATAAAAACTAATGAGGAAATTTTTAAGTTTATCATGCTCAGGCAGATTCATACCGGGGAAATCCTGTTTTAAGATATTGAGGTTTATTTTCTGCCACATTTGTACCTTTCTGTGATGACCAGGTACCAATGATTGTCGAGTTCTGGAATCCGTCTTATCTCCGCTCCCAACAAATCAGAAAAACCCTGGATAAAGTTGACTCCTATGGTTGGTTGCGCCTCACCTGCAATAAAAACCTTCTTATTTTATTTCATATCGTCACGATAGACGTGATAGTTTTGGTACCGCAAACTATGAGAATTATTATTACACGACGAATCACTAATCGTCGACTAAGACGATTCACCATTGTCACGCGTTCTATTAAAAATACACATGTTTTTCCTATTGGTTGAAATATATCAAGTGTATATGACAAATACTTAAAGACCAAACCGTTTCCAGTTCACTGTGATGGAAATGGGTTGTGATCATCATCTTTATTTATTTGTTGGCACATTAAACAAATTACAGACATATATCAAATAAAAAATAATATATGCATATAAAACATTGCATATTACCATAATTCTTAATATTATGTACACATAATTAACCTTCTTTTGTATAATAATCAAGAAACGGATAATCTATAGTAATGAATGAATTAGACATAAAACAGTAATTCGCGTATAATCATAATAAATTGCAACAAATTAAAATCTGATCAAATCTAAAGAATACATTAATTAAAATTGATATTAATAAATAAAATAAAACTCAAAGGAAAAAAATAGCTCGTGAAATTCATTTATATTACATTATTTCGAATCGTAACCTGTCTCACCGAGATAGATAGAGAAAAAAATAATTATAAACAGCAAATATTTTCCAGTAATACTCTTTTAAACTTTTGCAAGTTTAGATGGAAAATATCTAGATATTCACACTTAGAGGATATATGTCGAATGTACGACACATTCTGATGATCGGGTTATAGAAGGATGTGCTTATTAAATCCTTCGTTGGCTCAGCTAAAGACCAACATAAAATGATAGTACGGAATAGTATTATTCGGTCCTTAGACGGAGTCGCTGTAGAAAACTAAAATGGGGTTTCTATACGTATTGAATTTTGTAAAAAGTTTATGCCTACATTTCGCAGTATAGAATGTTTGACTTGAAGTACGACTCCTGGTGACTCGCCCACCACTTCCTCGATTTCATCTCCCAACAAGAAGGTCTTCCATAGGGATTTTTGTGGGCTCGCAAATGAGAGTCACACATACTACATACTATCTGTTGTTTGGGAAGTAACAGGGATAGCGCCTAACGCATTTCCTCGATGAAAAATGGTTTAAAGTACGACGTCGGCTATGGTAAAACGAGCGATAGAAGTGAGGTATACCTTTGGCTAATACGCTGCATCTGCAATAGCAGAAGTTAAGCAGCATTCGCAAAGTGGGTTATACGAGTCCTGTGTATTAGCAGGAGACTTATAACAGGATAATAATGATACGATTGTATTCGTAATAATTATATTTACCTTGATAATTGAGTTTAGCAACGATAACATCGCCTTCTATCTCCTCTTCCATGTAGATGACCTGTTGACCGACATTGCCTTGCCGAAGATACAGTCCCATGCATACTTCTTCCCGTACGGGTGGTGGGAGTAAAGGTCGGTCTTCCCATTTTAGACCTTGAATATTAGACAATATTGCAAACGATAAATCTTATCTTAAATTTCGTATTATAAGTTGAAACATATAAACAAAATAAAAATTTTATTTACAATAGAAATTCCATAATACGTAATTATTAAACCTATCACGGACCACATGATTATCCTGGATACTGTCTTATAAACATAATTAGAGGTATTAGAAATAGTTTTTCGCGGGATTGCAACCATGTGCTTTGTTTTTGTTGAGTTCCCGATATTTCAGCGCTATGTGGTAAATGACTATAAAAGCTAAAAACAATATAATTAGAGGCATCCCACGATTTAATACTAGAAATCAAAATATAATTTCGACGACTTTTACGGTTTTACGAATAACCAGTTGTTGTATCTTTACTTGTAGTTTTTTATGAACAATAAGAGTAAATATTAAGAATGAAAAAATATAAATAAAGTTTATACGGAAAAAACTCACCATCAAAGTCAAATTCTGGTAATTGAGGCGTTGGTGGCCTTGGTATTGCTACCATGAAAGCGCAATGGTCTGGAAAAACAATAATTTATGAACCGACTTCCTTTTTCTTATGACACATTTCGACGGGAGTACGAGAAAAGTGTCACTCTTCGTACAGAGGAAACTTTCGTAGTTTTAATTCTATGCGCATATGTCACAGTCACCTGAGCGGTAAGTATAAGTTTTACGTTAACGCGTTCACCAGTGAGTGCGTTTAAAATTTGTACAGACATTTGCAGTTCTTGGCTAAGGGCGCTATTCCGGATTTCATAATAAAATGTTAACACGCTCACGATCGACGGTGAACATTAACGTCTAAAAAACTTACACTAAAGAGTTCTAGTTAAAGTTGCTATACAATTGGACGACTATAACTTCAATTCAATGGCAAAGCTAGTATTCTAGTTAATTACTGTACAATTTGAAACGTTAAATAAGACAGGTGAATAAAAGCAACCGTTAAGTTAATTTAGTATATTACTATTATAATATAAGTATAGACACATATAATCCACTGGGTACGCTAGACAAAACTGCCGCAGTCAATCAAAGAAGAAAGTGAGACCTATAACTAATTCCTGCTCTATCTGTGTTCAGCCCTGCGATTCTGTTAAAATCCAGACCCGAATTAGAATTTGAATCTCTCAGAGAGATATTTTAAGAAATAAATATTCTGACTGTTGCCTCTCAATACATCTATGAGAATATTATGTACACAAGAAAACATTACGATTCCTTCAAAAAAAAATAAAAAGTAGTGTTCATAATCTTAACACAAGAAATAAAAATAAACTTGCCATTCCAACCTTCAGACTTCAAAAAACCAGAGGATCATTTCTGGGTAAATGTATTGCTATGTTCAATAAAGTTCCACAAAATGTAATTGACCTACCCATAAATAAATTTCAAATTCATGTAAAGAATATACTTATGAGTAAAGGCTATTATAAAGTTGATGATTATTTTAAGGATCGCAATGCATGGAATTAATAGCCTTCGCTTTGTTCTATAAAGACTAATTATATGTTCAACCTATGTCCTACAGACTTTGAAAGTTTTATTTATTATTGTGATAATACATATTATTTTGGTAATGACATGATTTATGTAAATGTCATTACTTATGATAAAAAGCTGGTAAGTTTCTTTAGCTTCTTCTTCTTGTCAGCTAAAAGTCGTCCTGAACAAGTGGTAGGGGAAAAAATTTTTGGACGATTCAAAAATTTTTGGACGATTCAAATAGCCTACTTGAATAAAGATATTTTCATTTTATTTCAATTCACTCATATATCCGAATTTACGTCATTTAGTGAAGAAATTCTTTTTTTTTGTACAAAAATACAAAACAAATTGATTGATATTCTATTCTCTAAAATATTTTTTCTTTAGTCTCAAATATTATATTCCTATGTCATTTCGATATTCATCATCATCATCATTAGCCCTTTTATGTACCCACTGCAGGGGCTCTCTTTATGGTTCTTTATGGTTGGTTAAGGAGGATGGGCCATGACCCTCCACGCTGGCCCAATTCTGATTGGAGGGTATTAACGACTGCAAATGCAGATGGGACCAACGGCTTAACGTGCCTTCCGAAGCACGGAGTAGCTCAAGATAATATTTTTTTGGTCACCCATCCCGTGACCGACCATTGCGAAAGTTGCTTAATGACAAAGATCGCGGGCCGCGGCGCTTATCCACTATGCCACTGAGCTACTCAATTTCGATATTCACTTCACTTATACCACAAAACATTAGCGTATGAACACGTAAAATTGTACGCTGCACTGCCAAATATTTATGATACGTCTTTTTTTGTGGGTTGTTGTTGTTCTAGTGGATACTGACTTATTATATTATTAATTACATATTATAATTTAAATGATATTTTTTAACATTAATTATTATTTTATTGATTTATTAATTTAAAATGAATTGTTATTTAATTAAAAATATATTAATATTTTGATATTCGTGCGTACCTTGTCACCTTAGGGTTTCAGCTGAAAATCAGCGTTAGGTACTGTTGTGCCTAACATTATGCTGAGCTGATGGCCCATTTGGCACCTAGTTTATTATAAAACTTGTATTTTTTTTTCTATTTACATTGTGTTTTATTTTGTTATTATTATCATGATTTTTTAACTTGCTTTGTAATTTATATAGGTGGCAATAAAAGATTATTCTATTCTATTCTATTCTATTCTATTCTATTCTATTCTATTCTATTCTATTCTATTCTATTCTATTCTATTCTATTCTATTCTATTCTATTCTATTCTATTCTATTCTATTCTATTCTATTCTATTCTATTCTATTCTATTCTATTCTATTCTATTCTATTCTATTCTATTCTATTCTATTCTATTCTATTCTATTCTATTCTATTCTATTCTATTCTATTCTATTCTATTCTATTCTATTCTATTCTATTCTATTCTATTCTATTCTATTCTATTCTATTCTATTCTATTCTATTCTATTCTATTCTATTCTATTCTATTCTAAAACGTTATTACCAATTCAAGATTGAGTTTATGTTTATTCGGATACTTGAGTGAATTCGAATTCGGGTTATAATTTTACAGTATCACAATTCACAGGGCAGATAATATCTAAGTGAAAATTAACAGACATCTCGGGGTGACATCGACGACATATAAATACGCACCTTCAACCTGTGCATTGACGGATGCCACTACGGCCAGCAACAGTAGTGCTGCGAGATATTTAACCCCCATCATATTGCATCATCTGTAAGTAAGAAATAAGCCTGATTAGAAATATTATAAAGATGTAAATTACATTAGTTCAAAATAATTCTCAATTCAGTTGAAGATTGTTTTAGAAAATTTTGAATATAGTGACCATTTTGAATTTGTAAATGCATGAAGTTTCCTCCAGTAACAACCATTTATTCGAGGCCCATTTTTTAATTGATGAAGGTGGATAATTGCATTATAATCAGATCTAACATTTTGCTCGAAATGTCAGCATTTATGTGACACTATTAAAAATAAGTTGCGTATTATGGTCATCCTGTTAGATAATAATCTAATAAAGTTTATTTCTTAGAATCTGCGGATAAAATACGTTTAGCTAGTAAATAACATAAAGAAAATGCAACATTTTTAGGAATTTTAATGAACGACGAAAACGCCCTGTAATTCGTTATCGTCGCAACCAATAACCAGGTTTTGTTTACCGGCATGTGACGTCACACATAAACCGGAAGCTGTCATGTTAAAACAGTGTTATTAGAGATACGCAAAATTTGTATTTATACATACAATTTGTTGTTCACTTTTATAAACAAAACTAGATTAGATACAAATACAAAACATAAAATTTAACTTCAATTTCTATTCTTTAAAACTCTTTTTTTACTACGTAAATATTTACTTCGTAAATAAATAGTTGATAAATAGGTTATGTCGCTTTGACATATTTACTGGCAAGTGACGTCACAAATACCACGTGATCAGCGCCATGACATAGAGCAGCGTATTGTGCGTGATTTTTTGGCTTTTAAAATTTTCACAATTATTTTCATAAAAAATAGAACAGATTGTAATGAAATATATTGACAGTTTATTTATAATGTATCAAAGAACCATTTAAAATAGTTTTCAGAAAAGCGTCAAATACTCTATTGGAAATGGCAGTAAGTCAAATAGAATTTTAAATTTAACTCCACCGACATATTCTTACTAGATGCGTAGTATTACCATGCATTTAGGCAGTAATTTCTATTCTCTTTTTTATCTATACCGCCTTTTAAATGTATTGTACCTACATCTGTACTGGTTGACTGGTAGAGAACGTTTTTTGGTATTAGATGCACAAATTGTTGTTTTTACAGCGAATCCATATTGTATAAATAAGTCTGAATAGTTATTAATGCAAGTATGAGAAAGTTGGACTTTAAAAAAATATTAGCAGTGTTTTTTCTACACTAATATTATAAAGGGGAAAAATGTAATATTTTCAATACAAAATAGAATGGTTCCCGAAACTACTGCACTTACTTATTTCAAAAAATCTTTCACCTACTGATAGCTGCATCATACGCAGGTGATGTAGACTATAATTTACTTAGGCGAAGTCTCGTTACAACAGCTAGTTGTTTTAAGAGTGTGCTACTACTCAGAAACAATCAGATTTCACCCCCGCTCCCCTCATCATACACACGATCGCAATAACAGCACGATCTAAAGCTTTATAAATTCTATTAATTCATGTTTTGGCAATTACAAACCCATTACAAATATGTAGTTTTGTCATATTTAATTACACCTTATTTAGACGTTATTTCTTTGTACAAAATCTATTTGAAGTTACTCATTTTTAGTGGACGCGCCCTCTTAAGAAATATAAGCCCTTATATATAAAATTTATGAAAAACTAGCTTTACGCCAGCGGCTTCGCTCGAGTGGTCTTGTATTATACATGAAAACCTTCATTTTGAATCACACCCATCTATGAAAAAAAACCGCATCAAAATCCGTTGTGTAGTTTTAAAGATTTAAGCATACATACGTATTTAGGGACGAAGAAAGCGACTTTGTTTCAAACTATGTGAGTAGGCAATTGGAGTTGGAGGTTATAGCTGACTAATACAAACACCGTTATTAGCACAATAACAAATTAATTTATTAAAATAATTCAAGGTACGTGACATTTCCAAGCACAGTCGATGAGAGGAGGTGGCGGAAACGGAAAACCACCATTTTAAAAATATTTTGATGTGGCATTGTTTCCAACATTAGTATTATATTCAGATACAATAATCATAATTCATAAATATATACCTATAATAATAATAAATTAAAACTCGTATAAACTGATATATATTATCTGTAAATATCACATTTTTGCAATTTTTTATGATTGTTCTGTGGGACTGAACAGAATAAGTAAGTATATAATTAAAATCAAATCACAACCTATCTTATATTTATCAAAATTGATAAAACAATTATAATTACCTTCGGCTGATAATATTACTCATTTCTTTTTGTGAGAATGTATTTCTATGAATTTCCATCGATTTATTTCTTGTACTAGAAGTGCAGCTTGAAGACTTACCTATTATATCTAATTAATTAACAGCCAGTTGCACGAATGTCGATTAAAATTTTCATTACTTTAAAACGACATTATTCATACAAAAATGACATCGATTAAAGTTTAAAGGCGTCATTAGACCTTAATAATCGTTTATACAACTGGCTGTAAATTTTACAGACAGCCACTAGTGCAATCGTCCATTAAAAATGTCAATAGTTTAAAGCTTTTAATACGACATTACCGATACAAAGTTACAAATTTAGAACATTCATTAGGGCATTAAGCTCATAACTGACGGTTAAGATGCTATAATATTTATCTTAAGATTTCTAGACATATTCTAGGGTTGTATTTTAAGGTACTTACATAACCTACGAAATATATAATTCGTATCTTGAGATAACCTACTAAATATATATTTCTGTATCGTTTGGCATCTTAAGATACTTAATATGATATAAAAATATTATAATAACTTAACGGCCCAACGTTGGATTGTATGGCGAGCGATATATTATAAGATGTGTTCTGTATGTTGCCACCTTTAATCGTGATCAAACCTTAATGGGAGTTTGTGAAATCTAATGTCAATTGTCCTAAAGTCCCTGATTGGTCGTCATATGTTCGTGTTTAGCATTTGGTGTTCGGCAAATAACTCTTTTGCACCTCTTTGGTTAATCATAGATTTATAAGAATTTGATGTTATCATATATGATACATAAATGAGAAAATAACGTGCCTTGTGGCGTTCGGTTCTCTGTCTACATCACAAGGGATCTGGCATAAAAATATAATATACGAAGATATATTATCACTTTTTATGTCATAGGTAATATTATTATGCACGACATGGCTGCAAATGGCATAATCTTCATTTCGCAGAAAATAGTTTGGCATAAATTTTATTACGCAGAAACTTTACAGTTCATAATTTCGGTGAAACAAGAACCTTTCCTATGATATGATAGGGATAGTAGATGTTAAGTCTTTACCACCAGCTTTAAACCCTTTTTACACATTCTAAGCCGATTTTATGGCTTCTAGCATGTCGTCTAGAAACACTATTTAATTATATACTTTTCTACAATATCACAAAGACCGAACACAAAGAACGGTCCTTACATACATCTTTCGCCTCGTCCACTTTAATTATCTATTAAATTATGTAAAATTCATATTAAGCAGACATTATTTACCTATTTTGTTGGGCGAGGATATGTATCTGTGGGCGAGAACCTAAAAGAATATACTTAATGAAACGCACAGATGTAGATATTAATATCACCAAACACTGTATACAAAAACCTTTAAAACCACTTTCAATAAACAATCACTTTATTTGTGTGCTGAATAACGGAAATCAGTCGCGAAACTGTAATGTGAATGTATTATTCGTTATGATTATAATAGATAAGATCACGGTGATTATCGCAAACCGACTTATTAATTTCGATAATTGTTAATAATACGCACATACCGATCGAGAGATCTTTATCTTTATTATAATAATGTGTGTTACATGGAATTTCCTTCAAAACATGCAGTTTTAACACTTTTAAATAGTAGTACACCAAGCTTCTAAGAAAATAAATACTTTACCACGCTTCGGCATGAATGGGCCGGCTCGACCGGAGTGATACCACGGCCTCACAGAAAACCGACGTGAAGCAACGCTTGCGTTGTGTTTCGTCGTGTGAGTGAGGGTACCGGAGGCCCAACTTCTTCCTACTCCCTTCCCTCTACCCCTCAACCCTTTCCTCGAAGGCCGGCAGCGCACTTGTAGCCCCTCTGGTGTTGCAGGTGTCCATGGGCGACGGTAATCACTTACCATCAGGTGATCCATCTGCTCGTCTGCCCCCATCCTATAAAAAATAAAAAAATTAACGAACTCAAAATAAGAACTGGCGTGAACTAAAAAACAAATGATCGTTAGCAGTCGAAAGTTATCCATTGCCGGACCTTCACTATGGAACTCCATGACGATGAGTATCGTATTGCTGTCTTCTTGATCTTACACGTACAGACAGTCGTTTACCTTGTCGGGGCATCTACACACTACACCTTTTTGCATTTGGCTACCACTTTACACACGGCTCTATTAACAGACAATCTCTTCTACGAACTATGAAAGTACCTCGGAAAAAAGAATAGGGTCTGAAGTGTGTGCCAACCAGCATGCGTAGGTAGCATGACGAACTCGAGAACGTTTTGTCTGCTCCGAAGTGTCACTTTTCGCTGCGCAATATATAATCTCACATTCGTCCCGGGAAAAGTGTAATTTGCTGCAGACAAACTCGAGAAACTTTTATCTTCCGAATGTCACTTTTCTTGGGCATGCGTCCATACGATATCTCAGTTTGAATCGGAGAAAGACAACGCATTTCTCGAGAATGATATGCTACGCGTGTTGGTCTTACACTTCGAAAATAAAATTGCGATAATAGGACTACTTAATGTATTGCTCCTCTAGTACTTCCCCCAGAGGCAATATGAGTAAATACCTTTACATATAATATCATTGCATATAATACTCATACTTAGTACATACTTACATACCAATGTTCTCTTTTGGATTAAAAGATATATTGTCATAGGCGTAATCAGACATAATACTGTGATAAATGCGTCAAATTGTGTTTATAATTTATATTGAACTAGCTGTTTTACCGCGATT